GCTATTTCTGGTCACCTTAGCCACCTCCCCACTTTTTTTTCCTTTCACCAGGAGAAAGATCTGTGGAGATGGATCCGACTGAGTTGCTTGTTCCGAGCTCTGCTGGACAGACTTTCTCAATTATGAACACATTATAGGACAGAGGCCAGACTCCCTAAGTGCAGATTTAAAGCTGAAGGGGAGACATGGTCATAAGAAAATAATTGTTTTCATTAATGATCATTGTATAAAAATGAAATTATGTATATTATATAAAAATATTTGTAGTGGGCAGAGTAGGGAAGATATGAAAATATTTTGCTTTAAGGTTAAGAAAAATCTGCTCTTTATCAACTAATTAGTCAATCAGCCACCATTTATTTAGAACCTACTGTATTGAACAAAAGGAGCCTGGTGGTGCAGTGGTTAAGCACTCGGTTGCTAACCAGGAGGTTGGTGGTTGAAACACATGATCTGCTCTGTGGGAGAAAGATGTGGCAGTCTGCTTCTGTAAAGATACAGCCTTGGAAACACTATGGGGTTTCTGCTCTGTCCTGTAGGGTTGCTGGGAGTAGGAACTGACTCAGCAGCAATGAGTTACAGGTATTGAACAAAAAGAATTCCCCAAGGGACCTTTCAGTTCAGTGGACATAAACAACCCTTGTATTACCTAACTTTATGTGTATTTAGTTAATACACTTAATTGTCGAGGTGAACATGAGAAAGAGTGTCTTGCCCATTAGAAACAAACAACATTTAGATTATATTTTTTGTTTTCAGGTAAGCATAGATGGCCTAATCAGAGGAAAACTTAAATAATAAAAGACTAGGGCATGATTCGCTGCCAGATTACAGTGCGATCAGCTGAGAAGATTGCACACTTTCAATGGGTTGGCATAGTCTGGGACTCAGAACGGTGAAAGAGCACGTTCGCAGTTGCTGACTTGTAGCACTTCATCATTCACAGTAACGACAGCCTTTCGGTCTTAGTGGTGTCCTCCTAATTGTTTAGGTGGAGAAGCCTTGATCTGAGCCCGAGGCCCACTCAGAGCGTGTGCCAACTGCACACCTGGAGACTATTGAGAAAGACTTTGAGAAAGCTTTCCTGAGAACCACACTATGGTTTGTGGTTCAGAGCTGACGCTCCTTCCTTTTGGGCTATTCTCATTTATTCGGTTAAAGGCTTATTATTATCATCAGCCCTAAACATAAAATGCTCATTACTCCAAGGGCAAAAAAATGTCCCTGGTAAGCGTCGAACTTCATTTTTCATTTTTTTATGAATCGGTCGGTAGAGAAGGTGTCTCTAGTGGATCAAAGTAGCTAAACACATACGACACCTAGTTTCTTCCAGATTGGCTAAAATAATAGTGTTAGACTATAACACCTGCTCTGATCCTGTCTCTTGCTGCTTTTTTATCACTGACGTTACCTTTAGGTTTATTTTAATGCCTTCATCTTTCATCGTCTTTTTGGCTCTGTGTAAACAATGTTATGCAAACTTAGAAACTTAGAGGCCATTTATTCTAGCTTCCTCATTAAGCCGCTTGTCTGTTTTAAATGAATGTTGTGTAAGTTGCTCCAACCATTAGAGATTGTTGCTAATCAGACCATTCGACTTTGGCTCTGAAATAGATGGAATGCCAAGAATAAGAGTGACGGTGATAGGCTGTTACTCTCACACCTTTCAGCCAAAAGCCTTATAAATACTTACAAATCAGTATTAGTTTTAGCTCCGTAGGGCTTCCATAGCAGAATTCCACAAAGCGCGTGGCTTATAAGAATAGAAATTTATTGCCTCACAGCTGTGGAGGGTGTAGGAAGGCCAACACTCCCTCTGAAGTCTCTAGAGGAAGGCCCTTCTTCATCTCAGCTTCTGGCAGCCCTACGTGTTCCCTGGCTTGTCAATGCGTCTTCATGTGGACATCTTCCTCCTGTGTGTCTCCTGCCCCCTTATAAGGACACCACTCGGATGGATTAGGACCCACCCTGCTCTGCTATGACTCTGCTAACCTGAAAGCTGATACCATCTGCAGAGAGTTTCTAAACAAAATCACGTTCACAGGTATGGTGGTCAGGACTTCAGCGTATCTTTTTGGGGAACACATGTCAACCCACAAGAGACGATAAGCTTCAAACGATAAAGGCTGTATCCCCAGTGTGCACACCATGTCTAGCAAGTAATATGTATTCATTTGTTCATTTAGTATTTATTGAACTTCAGGCACTAAAGTAGGTTCTAGAAATACAATGGCAAACAAGATGCACACTGATGATTTTCATGGTTTATTACTTGTCTCCCCCCCTAGAATGTGAGCTCTGTGACATCCAGATCTCTATGTCTTGTTCACTGCTGTCCTACCACCTAGGATAGTGCTTGGCACGTATTAGTTACTCAGTACGTATCTGCTGTATGAGCTAATGAAGTAAACTAGTTAATGCAGCAATCTAGCAGAAGAGATAAGAGCGAAAAAAAAAGTTTGAATACATGGGTTAATTTTCAAATTATAATAATTACCATGAAGGAAAAAGTAACCCTGAATGAAGACAGAGACTCGTGGAGGAAGACCACCTTTAGACAGTATGGCCAGGGCCGTCTCTCCATGAAGGTGACCTTCCAGCCGAGCCCTGAAGGTGGAGAGCAGAGTATTCCAGGCAGAGCCTGCAGCATGTTCGAGGCCCTGAGGGAAAAGCATGGCTGTGCAAGGAACTGAGGGAGGCTAGTGGGCCACACTGGAGTCGGTAACGAGCTCTTGCTGTTGTGAGTTGTCATGGAGTCAGCTCCGATTCACCGTGATCTTACGTATATTGGAATCAAATGTTGCCTGGACCTGCGCCATCTCCATGATCCTTGGTATGTCTGAGCACACTGTTGTGGCTGTTGTGTTAATCAGCCTCACTGAGGGTTTCCCTTGTTTTTACTGACCCTCTGCCAAACGTGATGTTCTTTTCGAGTGATTGGTCTTTCCTGATGCTGTGTCCAAAGTAAGCGATCTGGAGTCTCGCCATCCTTGCTTCTAAGGAGCACTCTGGCTGTATTTATTCTAAGTCTGATTTATTTGTTCTCCTGGCGGTCCACAGTATATTCAATATGCTTCACCAACACCACAGTTTGAATGTATCCATTCTTCTTCCGTCTTCCTTTTTCATTGTCCAGCTTTTGCATGCATATGAGGCCATTGAAAATTCCATGGTTTGGGTCGGGCGCACCTTAGTCATTAAAGAGACATCCGTGTTTTTTACAGTGAAGAACAGAGGGTTCAAATGTGGCTGGAGAGATGGGTGGGGCAGATTACTCAGGGTCCCCACCCTGTAGGCCATGATGAGGAGGGGCACCCTATTCTAATGGTGCTAGAACCAGAGACTTAATAGTTGTCAGCTATTAGAATCCTCTTTTCTTCCTTCCTAACAAAACCTCAGTTTTGTTGAGGGCAGCAAGGTGCACAGGTATTAAAAAACAAACAAGCAAGCAAACCTGTCTGCATTTCCCGGCCTTCCTTACACCCAGGAGAGCCACATGGTATATCTGTGTCCAATGAGGCACAAGTGGAAGATGCTGGAGCAGACCTTGCAGGAAAACTTTGGTTTTTTGTTCAAGGTGCAAATATGACTGGCACTTCCTTGAACACCCGTGATGCCTGGAGCTAAGACCATCGTCTGTGACAAAGAGGAAAAGGCCAAGTAATTGCAGAGAAGCCAGCCCTGGCATCCGTGAGCTGCTGAAGCCATGGAGAAGCCCCCTATCTTCAGACATATGATGTGAGAAAAAATCACCTTATCTTTCAAAGTAACTTTTGGTCAGGTTTTATCTTGCTCATAGTTTAATGCATTTCTGATTGATAGAATGACATACGGGGTGAACAAAAGCTGCCAGTTCAAAGGAATACATTTAAAATATTAAAGAGAGAAGAGATTTTTGATAAAGGAGGCTCCTAGAAGAGAAGGAAAAGCTAGAACTCAGCAACAGGATAGTTTTCTGAAGAGCAGATGAGTTAAAAGGATGACAGAATAGACATCCCTGGCTCTATACCAAGGTCACGTCACCTGTCTTGGCTTCAGGTTCATCAGCTGCAGAATGGAAGGGCTGAGAATGAATGACCTCCAATGTTCCTTTGAGTCCCGTCAGTTTATGATGGTAGTGACAGTTCTATTCTTTCTCTGAGTCTGGAAGTTATATGAATGCAGGGACGTTGATTCTTGGACGTGAAGGTGAGTGTGTATGCTGCCTTGGTTTTCTCCGTGAAATCAATGGAAGTTGAATAGAAGAATTGCTGAGGGCCAGTCAGGGTCAGCCTGAGGCTGTGCACCATGGATTATTCATGGGCCAGGGCTGTAGTGTTCTTGTCTTCCTCCAAGAGTGCTCCTTCAGGGGGTCAGAAGTGGAGAGGTGAGATTCATAGAGGCTTCTCTGACAAACTTGGATGAAAACAAATCCAAGTGGAGGATGGAAGGATGTGTATACAACAAAAATGAATTAAAATATCAGAAATCTCAATGAATAATGACAACAACATCAAAAGTAAGAAGATTTTATTATTGTATATTTCATTGTTCTTTTTAATGCATTAAGATGAACGAGGAAAGGGTAAGTAGCGCATGTTGCTTGAAGAGTTACTGATTTTATTTAATACGAATGTGTACAGTGCTTACCAGATGCCTAGTGCTGTTGACAAAGAGAATGTTAAAGTAATCCATTCTGCTTTCACTTCTCTTTTACCCGCCAAAAAAAAAAAAAAGTGATTTTAAAATAAAAATTTTAAATCCAGCATCAATAAAAAGTAATTGAATAGCAAGGTCACATAAAATGAAGAGAATATTTATTTACTTTTAATTGGTTCCTTTTTCCAAGTTTGTTGTTATTGTTGTTAGGTGCTGTTGAGTTGCTTCTGACTCAGAGCAACCCCGTGGACAACAGAACGAAACACCGCCCGGCCCTGCGCCATCCTCACAATCGTTGCTATGTTTGAGCCCATTGTTACAGCCACTGTGTCAATCCATCTCATTGAGGATCTTCCTCTTTTTTGCTGACCCTCTACTTTATCAAGCATAATGTCCTTCTCCAGGAACAAGTTTAGGTATATTATATAGGTGGAGTGTAAGATTTTAAACATGTATTCTCATAAACCTTGTTATATGGGAAATTACTGGGACCCTAGAACCCTCCACCATGATAGAAGGGAGGGCACCATCAGACTGATCACTTGGTGCACAAGATAATATTGGGGGAGTAGGGATGACCCAGAAGATGGGGCCAAGGAAGTCAGAGGAAGGAGAAGCTGGTGGCAATGGGGTGTGTGATCACTGCTGAGCTGATCTCTCTGGGCATGAGGTAGAGTATATGGTTACTTCCAAAAGAAGTTCTTCACCTGGTAGGAAGGAACCATTGAAACCAAAGGAGTTGGAAGGTTGGGTTATACATTGACTATTGAATAGGCTTCCCTGAATTCTTCAACATGCCTTCAAAGGTCGTAGTCTCTTTAGCTCAACACTGTACTCTATTCATAGAATAATTTCAAACTCTATAATATTGTTTGAAGTTGTCATTTCATATCCTTAGGAGAGAATTTGTATTTTTCTACCCAGAGCACAGTGAAGCGAGACAAGGTTTCTTGTTGTCTCCCTCGCTCAGAATGAAGGTATGTTTCCCGGTCCATCCTTCCCCTGGGGGTGTGGTTTCCTGAGGGTCCCTGCTTTGTGCAGAAGTGTCAGATGCAGGTGCCTGGCTGTGTGGGGCCCAGGTCTGTCTCCTGCCCCTGCAGGTCTGCCAGACTGGGCCCTTTTATTGCTGAAATTCGCAAACTCTCCGTCTTGGTCTCCTAGCACTGCTATGACAGAAATACCACAAGGGGGTAGCTTCAACAAACAGAAATTTATTTTCTCATAGTTTAAGAGGCTAGAAGTCTGAATCCAGGGAACTGGCTGTGGGGGAAGGCTCTCCCTCTCTCTGCCGGCTCTGGGGGAAGGTCATTGTCTCTTTCCGCTTTTCTTTCTTGGTTCCTTGTTGATCTCCACGTGGCATCAACTTCCTCCATTTGCGCTTGCTTTCTTGCGCCAGATCAACACTTCTGTATCTCAAAAAGTAGTTGGCCTAAGACACACCCTACGTAGACATGGCTTCATAACATAACAAAGAAATCCTTATTTCCAAATGGGGTTATGTCCACAGGTATAGGAGTGAGGATTTTATTTCTGGGGGACACAATTCAATCTACAACACACCCCAGGCGGCAGAGAGCACCATTGCCTCTCTCACCTCTCTGGTGCCAGCCCTCCCTTCTCCCATCCTGGGGGCCCCTTACTTTCTTGCGATGCGTTTATAAGGGGGTTTGTCAAATTTATTTACTTCTAACATTTTTAGCTGTTTTGTATTGGAAAGATTTTTTTTTTTTCAGAATAACTATTCCATCACAATGCTGAAAATTGCAATCTCAATACATTATTCTAAACTTTTTATCGAAACATACCATACATATAATATACATGTAGAAAAGTGCATATATCATCTGAAAAAAACCCAGAAAATGAATCTAACCATATGACTCCATCCATACCAATAAATATAACATTATAGCTCCCCAGACACCCACTTTCTGCCCCTTCCCAAAACCCAACCACCACCTTCTTCTCCCTCATCAAAGGTCGATAGAATATTGAATTCTAACACTGTGGATTAATTTTGCCTGATTTTGAGTGCACTCATATTATCTGAATTACATTGTACCTAAGTTTCTTTTTTACTCAATGTTAAGTTTATGAGAATTATTCATTTTGTTACATGCAACTGTATTCATTCATTTTTATTGCTCTATATTCCATTAAATGGAGCCCTGATGGCACAGTCGTTAAGCCCTCGGCTGCTAAGTGAAAGCTCGGTGGTTCAAACCCACCTAGCAGCTCCACAGAAGAAAGAACTGGGGAACTGCTTTCCTAAAGATTACAGCTTTGGAAACCCTGTTGTTTTTGTTGTTAACTGCTGTTGAGCCTGTTCTGCCTCATCGCCACCCTGAGTACAACAGAAAGAAAGAAACACTGCCCAGTCCTGCACCATCCTCACGATCCTTACGTTTGAGCCCACTGTTGCAGCTACTGTGTCAATCCATTTCGTTGAGGGCATTCCTCTTTTTTGCTGACCTGTACTTTACCAAGCCTGATGTCCTTCTCCAGGGACGGTCCCTCCTGATAACATGCCCAGAGTACGTGAGATGTAGTCTTGCCATCCCTGCTTCTAAGGAGCATTGTAGCTGTACTTCTTCCAAGACAGATCTGTTCTTTCTTCTGGCAGTCCGTGGTATATTCAGTATTCTTCCCCAACACTACAATTCAGATACATCATTTCTTCTTGGGTCTTCCTTAGTCATTGTCCAGCGTTCACATCCATATGAAGCAACTGAAAACACCATGGCTTGGGTCGGGTGCATCTCAGTCCTCAGACTGACATCTTTGCTTTTCAACACTTCAGAGAGGTCTTTTGCAGCAAATTTGCCCAACACAATACGTCGTTTGATTTCTTGACTGCTGCTTTGGTGGGTGTCGTTTGTGGATCCAAGTAAAATGAAATCCTTGACATCTTTTTTTCCTGAATAGTTTTGCCAAATATTTATCAATTATATCATTTGTTTTGTTACTCTAGCAATTCTGAGACTACAGACTGACCCAAAATCTGAACGACAATGATCATGCTTACCTGGTGAATTAAGGAGTAAGCCTAATTATTGCTTTTCTCCCACCAAATTGTGAATGGAATAATTAATGTAAAACACAAAACCAAATAAAAGTCAGTACTGAACACTCCTGTTGAATGTTCAATGAAATAGGCAGGTTACAAAGATGCAATCTATGTCCCGACTGGTCCTTTCAAGGCTTATCAGATCCTGACTATATTGTATCCATTGTCTATCTTTTAATGTCGCCTAACGGAGCCCCGGTGTCTCAGTGGTTGAGTTTGGCTGCTAACCAAAAGGTCGGCAGTCGGAATCCACCAGTCACTTCTTGGAAACCCTACGGGGCAGTTCTACTCTGTCCTATAGGGTCGCTATGAGTCAGAATCGACTCGACAGCAACGAGTTTGGCTTTTTTGTTTTTTATTTTGGTTTATGCAGGAGGAGATACTTCTGTACTCTGAATTATGTTTCTTCTGCAATTCAGAGAACTTTTTATATTTTGAGGATTTGTGAGCACACGTATTTTAAACAGGCAATTGTACACTTTTAGCTTTGTCTTCTTCTCCTCACCATAAATATCAGGCGCGATAATTAAAGCAAGGCAGGAAGCTGGAGCACAAAGTAGATGATGTGTGTCCCCAAAGTGCAACTTTGAAAGAAAAAAATCCTTGTAAAGCAACGGGAGCGTATGCTGTGATGATGTGCTCTGGGGTGGTTACACAGCCAGCGTGGGGGTCGCAGATTTGCTTGCTGTGGCAGGAAGGATATGCCTATTAACAGGAACCAGCTGTTGGGAAAAAACGCTCTGCCCCAAGTAGTCAGAGGATGTCTTAATTTAGCTGTGGGCCGCGCTTATTATGCAGAAAAAAAAGAAAAAACTTAGACGCTATCAACTCCATTCAGTTAATAACATTCTTGTGAGTTTATGCAGCAGCAAGGAAATATTAAGAACAGTTCCTCTACAGTAGATCAGTCTCTGTGGTTCAACACCTACCTTCTTTCACCCCACGTTGTCTCTAGCTGTTCTAGCCTGTTACTTTTCACCCAGGTCTACGCAAGGAGGCAATGCCATCAAGTTGGCAGAAAACGTTTCTGTTTCCACTGCAGAGTGACCAACAGGCCTGAGGGGTCACTTGGAACCCCGCCCCGCCTTGCCATTGAGGAAAGAACTACAGGTACGACTCACCCAGAAAACCTAGTTCCCATAGAGCCGAACCCAACTCATGGTGACGCTGACTCATGACGACCCCACATGTGTCAGAATAGAACTGTGTCCATAGGGTTTTCAGTGTTGATTTATCAGAAGTAGATCACCAGGCCTTTCTTCTGAGGCACTTATGGGTGGACTTGAACCTCCAACCTTTCGGTTAGCAGCCGAGCACATTAACTGCTTGCATCGCTCAGGGACTCCAGTTAGGATTAATGAGCATCAAATCCCTCTACTCTCCTTACTCTGTATCTTTTGTGCAAACATATGGTATTCTAAATTTGAGTAAAAATTTTCTGCAATGCTTAAACATCTGGTTCATGGTAATCTTTGGCTCACAGATGTAATATGCCCAAAGAAAGAATGAAGTCTAACTGGAATATTGAATGTCCTGGTGACACAGGTCTTATCTGAAGTTCTGCGATTTCTTCTTTATTTCCAGGGTCACCTCTTTGTATAGTATGTTTTAGCAGCCGCTGCAATACAAGCACAGTTACTGAGAATCTGTCAATGGCCTGGAGGCCTGGCAGTGCCCTGGTTAAGAGCCCGGCTGCTATCTAAAAGGTTGGCAGTTCGAATCCACCAGCTGCTCCTTGGAAACCCTATGGGGCAGTTCTACTCTGTCCTGTAGGATGGCTCTGAGTCGGAATCGACGCAAACGCAACGGGCTTGGTTTTTGGTTTATTAATGGCCACATGAAGTGGTAAGCACTGTTTACACAACATTTAATAATACAGTTTCCTTTTGCAATTCAGTTGAGATAAAGCTGTCAATGCTTACAAACTCATGTGATGAGTACTATGGATATACTCAGAGTATTGTAGGAGTACCGAGAAGGGGCACTTAAAAGAGGCAGCTGGCTCAGCTTTGGGGGTGTGTGTGTGTGTGTGTGTGTGTGCATTTGTGTGTGTGTGGTGTGGTGTATGTGGGTGGTGTAGTAATGTGTGTGTGGGGTATGTGTGTGCGGTGTGTGTGTAGTATGTGTGGTGTGTGGTGTGGTGTGTGTGTTTTGTGTGTTTGTGGTATGAGTGTGGTATGTGTTGTGTATGTGTGTTGTGTATGTATGTATGGTGTATGTGTGTATGTGTGTGTGTGGGTTTGTACAGATGCAGACTTCCACAAGGAGGAGATGTTGAAATCAAGAATTGAAATATTGATTGGATTTATTCCACGTACTCAGGTGGATCACACAGGGAAAGGCATTCCAGACAAAGGGATCAGCATGGGCACAGCTTTGCTGTGGCTGCTTCAGAAAGTGTGAGAGCACATGTGAGCAGCTGAGACCAGAGAGCTCTGCAGAAAGCTGGTCAGGAGGGGCTTTGTGAGCAAGGTGAAGAAGTGTGAATTTTATCCAAAAAGCAATGAGACCTCACCAAAGAAGAGACCCAGATGACAAATAGACATATGAAAAGGTGCTCAACATCACATGTCGTTAGAGAATTTCCAATGAAAACAGCAATGAGATACCACTGCACACCTATCAGAATGACCAAAACCCCAAACACCGACCACACTAAATACTTGGGGGATGTGGAGCAGCAGGAACCCTCACTCACGGCTGGTGGGAGTACAGAAAGTACAGCCACTCTGGAGGACAGTCGGGCTGCTTCTTGCGAAGCTAAATACAAGCTTGTCATAAAAACCAGCAATCGTGCTCCTGGGTGCTTACCCAAATGGGTTGAAAAATATGTCCACACAAATATCAGCACATAAATGTTTATAGAAGCTTTATTTGTAATTGTCAAAGAATGGAAGGAACCAAAGTGTGTTTCAGTAAGTGAATGGATAAACTGTCGTACATCTGTGCAATGGAGTATCATTCAGCCATAACAAAATTCCAGCTATCAAGCTACGAAAAGACATGGAAGAATCTAAAATGCATATTGTTAAGTGCAAGGAGCCACTCTGACGAAGCTACATTCTGTATGATTCCAGCTGTATGGAATTCTGTGTAGAGACAGTGAAAAGGTGAGTGTTTGCCAGGGTTTCACAGGAAGCAGAGTGGTGACTAGAGGGAGCACAGGGCATTTTTTAGGGCAGCCAACTGTTCTGCATGACACTGTCATGGTAGACACGTGACATTATGCATTTGTCAAAATCCACAGGACTAAAAACCACGAATTGTGAACTGGACGGTAAATTACACTCTAGTTAACAGTGTTGTTGTTGTTAGGTGTCATCGAGTCAGTTCAGACTCACAGTGACCCCATGGACAACAGAACGAAACACGGCCACATCCTGCACCATGCTCACAATGGTTGCGATGTTTGAGCCCGTTGTTGCAGCCACTGTGTCAGTTCATCTTGTTGAGGGTCTTCCTCTTTTTCTCTGACCGTCTACCTTACCAAGCATGATGTCCTTCTCTAGGGACTGGGCCCTTCTGATGGCATGTCAACAGGACGTGAGGCGAAGTCTCGCCATCTTTGCTTCTAAGGAGCTTCCTGGATGTACTTCTTCCAAGACAGATTAGTTTGTTCTTTTAGCAGTCCATAGTATATTCAACATTCTTTGCCAACACCATAATTCAAAGGTGTCGATTCTTCTTCAGTCTTCCTCAGTCATTGTCCAGCTTTCTCATGCACATGAGGCAGTGAAAATACCGTGGCTTGGGTCAGGTATACCTTAGTCCCCAGCTGACAATTTTGCTTTTTAACACTTTTTAAAGTCTTTTGCAGCAGATTTGCCCAATGCAATGTGTCTTTTGATTTCTTGACTGCTGCTTCCATGGGTGTTGATTGTAGATCCAAGTAAAATGAAATTCTTGACAACTTCAATATTTTCTCCATTTATCATGATGTTGTTTATGAGTCCAGTTGTGAGGATTTTTGTTTTCTTTATGTTGAGGTGTAATCCATACTGAGGGCTGTAGTCTCTGATCTGCATCACCAAGTGCTTCAAGGCTTCTTCCCTTTCAGCAAGCAAGGTTGTGTCATCTGCATATCGCAGATTGTTAGTGAGTCTTCTTTCAATCCTGATGCCCTGTTCTTCATAGTCTAGTTTCTCAGCTTATTTGCTCAGCATACAGA